AAAGCGGTCAAGAAAGCGCAAAACAGTCGACCGTTGATTTTCGCTCATCGGCGGGCAACGGCTAGGAAAGTGGAAGTATGGACGAGTTCAGCGCGACCATGCCAAACCATAGCTCCATCGAGTTGCTCCAGTTGTGCCGCTGCTGGCAACGCAGCTCGTCCAAATCACCAACTAAACTAGTGGGCGGATCGCTTTTGGGGCGGAGTGCTTTCGAAGTCCTGCTCAGCAACCAGCGCACCTTTCGTCGTGAAAGCGCCACACCTCGCTTCCTTGGCAGCCAAGTAACTGCTTCGTGTGGTGCATATGCTTCCCCGATATGCTCCCTCTTTATCGTAATCCCTTACTTTGAGCCTTTATGTGGAACAACTCAGTATAGAGGCTCAGGAGTTGCGCTCCAAAGTGTTCGTTCTACCCAAGCAATGTAACCTACGAGTTCGGTTGAATAAAATGTTACAAGTGAATTTTCAAAACACTTCAAAAGGCTTACCCTCCAATGGCGTGGGAAAATGCCCATATGAACGTCGTACACATGAATAGACCGAATCCACTTGATATCACTCGTGTTATTAGGTGAAAACAGAGAAGCATAAACGAATACATACAGGAGCTCAGGAATGACTGAAAAACGAGTTGTATTCAGATACGCATCCATGCTCTGGCAGATATCTATGATTTATTTTCACGAAATTTATTATTAATTTTCCTTGTTTGTTTATTGACACCGAAAGAATGGAACAACAAATGCCCGAACCAGGTCAATAGTCCAGTCAGAGCACCACCCATCCAGTCCGGAATCGCAGATTTGTCGCCTTTACGAGTGTCATACCTCCAGAGGTGGTATTCAATCCTTCCCCAGGGGGATATATCCCCCTTCTCTGTAGAAACACAGAGCTAGCTGGGTCCTATGACGCAACCCTTTTTTTCCCCAGGAGGATTGAATCAGAGGAGGGAGGATAACCCTCGTGGGGGAAGGATTGAATACCGCCCCAGAAGGAAGCAAGGGAGCGACACGATAAGACAACCAGTAGTTTGTTGAGGCAGCGACATTCTCGTGCTGGAGGAAATAGAGAAAAACTCAGTGAAGGCCAAGGAGTCGTTTTCTCGTGAATACGATTGTCGGACCACGCGATAAGGAGCGATAGCCTTTATTTCCTTTTCCTCGCAATGAACTCTTTCCTTGGGAGTCGTTCTCTCTCTATACCGTCCATGCAAAGTTTCGCGTTAGTTAGTTCACTACGATCGTTGTTGGTTTTTCTGCAGCTTCTCAGAGAATAGAGCTGCTCAGCCCACTTTGTTCTGGAGGTCATCGTCAAATTTATCATAGCCGCGTGATCTCCATTGATACTTATTTGTAACCAACGATAACTGCGATATCCAAATCCGAGCCCTGCTCTCTCGTTGCCATGCTCATCCCACGTACATCTTCATCCATTGTGTGTGGAGCCCAAATACAGGTGAAAAAGGACTGGGCTGCGGTGTAGAAGAGCTGGGAGAACGCAGGTAAGAAATGGCCCTGGTATTGCTCTCCTGGTCGGTCACGGCACGGCTGAGTATCGCATTAGATAGGGTTGCGAATCACTGATGCTCAACGACAGTAGCAAGATTTGTTCCTCGAATTAATGCGGATTTTTCACAGAGAAAAGGCTCCCATCTTTTGAAGATGGTGCTTTAACGATAAAAGCGTAGTCACTAGAAATCAACGTAGAGTATGGCCGGTGATGCACGCATGACAGAAGAGAAAGGCCAGGAAACAAGCCTTCGCCTGAGAAATGGGCACTCGCTGGCTAGATTCACACCCCTTGGGCGTAGTCTCATCGACGCGGCTGACGCCTATCAACCAGGGATTGGACTGTGCTCTCGCCGTTTGTGATAAAAAGCTGAGGGACGAAGTGGCGACAGAGTCCGCGCGCGACGGACTATTGGATCTTGGTCCATTCAAGTTGCCTCACACGACACTTTCGTCTACGCTCTCTAGCCTTATCAGCGGCTCAAGACCATTGCTATCTCACACCTTCAACTTTTGCCACACGTAGTTAGCTCACCCACCTCGGAATCCCCTCCCCTTAGGCTTAGTCTTGGGGCTCCCACCCCCCTCCTTGGGATTCGAAGCCGAACCAAGCGGCGTTCCCTAACCGTTTGTGGTCTCCGCGATTCGTGGCAGGACCATAGAAGAGTTCAAGTAGTCCGTTAAACGAGTCCTACAGCGAGGGTGGGTGGGCGGGCAGTGTTGCGAGCGTCGCTGGTGGGCCGCTGAGATCGTACTCTTCGCTACGAATGTATCGTCCCGCACCAGGAATGCGCCCGCCCGCCTTTTCACTAGTTGTATTTCCCCATTTTCGACCTCCGACCTATCGTGGAGTCTTCAGTTGGATCGACCCTTGCGCTTACTAGTATGAGATAAACCTTTGCTTTCCTCAGCTTTGAATTGAGATCAGGCTTTTCATGGCAAAGAAAAAGATCTAATGAAAAGAATAACGCTAACCTGAACGAATAGTCGCGTTTCTTTCCTGAGGCCGGCGCTTATTGTGCGCTTCTGCCGCTGTTCCAGTAAGTGCAATCATTTTCTGAATATATGCTTCTGCCTCTCAACACGCAGCTTCATCAATTGAATTCTGCTCGCATCTTGGCCACAGGACAAACAGTTCGAAGGCGATTCCACATATCACTTCAATAAGGAATCAAAAGAATTTTTCAGTATAATGAAACTCAAGACCGGTTTCATACTATGCGAATCGCTCGATTCGCAAACTCTGACACCGTCCTACAGAAGAAGTTGTGGAGCATCCAAAAATCGGTGTTATGTACATTCGGATCACTAAATAGGGGACAGCAAATGAACCTTTGTTGCTGATCTCAGGTGCACGAATACCACCATATCAATGCCACATATGACCACGAAGATTGAGACATTGTAACACATGTCGATATAGAAGGACATTTTCTGGCTGCACTGCTCCACGCCAAAGGTCCACACCTTGTACTGGTGATCGTTAGTAGAAACTGCAGCCGTCTGAAAATGGTACGTTCAGTGATGAATACACATTAACCGACGAAATCAAACATACCCATGAAGTAGACAGCGAAGTAAAGTAATGAGATGAACGAGATTGCCAGCAAAAGCAGTGGAGTGATCCGATCGCTGAACATGCTTCGATAGAACATCGGGAACATCACTGCTACCAACCTATAAAGCAAGTTTCAATGGTAAAAGCACCTCATTTCGTTCGACTGAACACAACCAGAACTGAGCCGTATTCAAGAAGCAACTGGCGTCATTCAATGGGTCTATGGCTAGCGCTATCGCGTACTTAAAGGCACGGGCCGGAACTGAACTGGTGCATTATTTTGTTCAAAAATTAGGACAAGGAAGTGCGATGAAGAGCGTTACTGAGGAGAAAAAGCAAAAAGCGCCATAGAAAACACTGAAATTCCCTTTTGAGGTCGGTTGCAATTTGACGGAGAGACACAGCGCTGCGAGGAGAGGGACAACGCGAGAGAGTGCGCGTACGCGAGAGAGTGCAGACGCCATGAACGCCGCGATTGATAGAGCGGCAGCGCCGGCAACAGGCTACAATGCACAGCCTAAGCGTCCTTGCAGTGCACTTTTGAGTTGCGGTAGCGTCGCGGCTTTTGTGCTCAGAGAGGGCTACCTCTTGGCCCTGATCCCGACCCGTGGCTTTACATTCCTAAAGTCGAAATATATAAGTTCACCTATTAATAGTGATGAGCAGGCTGCAATGGAATGACGCTTCGACAAATAATAAAGACAGTTGTCCGATTAGTAGATTGAACCCTTCTAGTTCGATGGGTATCTCTCTGGAATGGCACGCACTTCAAGGAATGTAAACGGGAAAGGAGAAACTAAACATACAGTAAAGTCCATGGAGTTGACCATAGTAGAAATATTAGTAGAATAAATGCATTGGATAGCGATTCATAAGCTGCCAGATAACCAAACGAATTTTTGAAAGCTTTATGTCGGATCAAAATAAGAAACGACAGGAAGTTGCACATAAAACCAAAGGCGGATACCTTCAAAATATCTTCAATTATGATAACTTTGACATTTGTTTGATAATTGAACCAGGTTGCGGCTGTAACCCAGTAGCACATCTGCAAATCAGATTGAGCCTAGGGGTATACAACGTTTACTACGTTTAAGCCAGCCCCAAGTTTTTGGTGGCTAAATTTAGTTAGTAACAAACATTCACAAAGAGTAAACGAAGTCTAACTTGGATGGATAGGTAAGGGGTTCCGACAGGAGGCCTTTCGCGCGGCGAGAAGGCAGAGACGCAGACAGTCGGCGGACGAGTCGCAACGCGTGCTATGTTGGGGCGTGTTGGCTGTACAGGCCATATTTGACGCGAAATCCCTGCAGTATGGCGGAGACTCGTCTCCTACCATCGATGCATGACGATAAGTACATGATGATCCCTTATTCGAGAGGTCCGTAGTTATGTCATACCCCATCATCGTTCAATCAACCTTTCCAAATACATGTGTAATTCGAGCCGGCGATAAGGTAAGGACTATCATGGGCTAAATTTAGAAAGGAATTGATAGGATGTCTGGGTCCCAAAAGGGACCAGTCAAGAAGTTAGTCTTACTCGGACTAGGAATTTGCTCAATACAATGGTTAGATTGGGGGTCAAGGGGCAAAGGGGGGGGGGGAGCTTTAACGCCAACCCAGAGTATCGAAAAAACGTAACTCAGGGATTTCAGTAGACATGGCATGTTTTTCGAGTGCGTGCATTCATTCGAAGGTCTATTGAAGGCGGAGACGGATAATTTGGAGCGGAGGTCAATTTCAGCCAGTTCTTATAAATCAATCTTGCCGGTAGCTATAGGTTCCAATTAGTGGTTTTGTTGAGAACGCAAAACTAACCGTGCCGATGAGAACTGTTTCAAGGATGGTGACTGCTAGATCTTCCTCGAACTCTTCCGTGCCATTCATTGAGGCAGGATTTCCTTAAATCTTTGTTTCAATGCGACTAGTGCATATTTGACTTCTAAGTAAGTTGCAGAGAGGATACGTTCACAGAAAACAAAAGGACTATGAGTTGAAGAATATAGCGGATCACAAAAAGAGCTACATATCTTGCCTGGACGTTAGCGTCATGGCTTTGAGGACTACTCAAGCGAAATAGAAAAAATTTCTACTCAAATGTAGCGCCAAACTTAATCCATTACAGAAAAATCGAGAAATATAATATTACCGGATCCCTATCAGAGAGTAGGAAATAAAGCCAGAACTTCAGGAGGGAAACCGTGATGTGACTGTGATTAACCAGGGGCACTGAACTGGAGGCTCTCGTTGAGCACGAACTTTTACCATTTTCATGAAAAAACTTTGAGAAAGCGACCGTGACAGCAAAAATGGAATTCGCCTCGAGAGCCAAATCTTGGAAAAAGTGCCATCTTCAGCCCCTTCGGTTGCAGCCGTTTCATGGCATGGTTAGTACGGAAAACCTGAGTAAGCGCATTTACACTATGCAGCTGCACTATTGCTGCTCGCTACAGCACTGCAATAGCAATTACCTACCCGATAAGTCCTGTCGTGCCTTCAAACAATAGGTCCTTGCGCTACCACAACGATTGGCGCTAGTTCGTAACATTTTTTTAATCATTCGAGGCACTCAAGATCTCCTAACTCCCTAACTCCGCTGCTTAAAGGAAATCTTCCACGGAAAAAGCTCCGCCCTCATTACCACAGAAAACGATACCTTAAAGGAATCTTCCACGGAAAGAGTGATCATTTTGTCTTGTGTGTAGGATTAGTATTATCGAAACTAACGCTTATGTTCCGTTCTTTTTGCTATGCTCATGAGGCTAGGGGCCTAAGGGGTATCGTTTTTCTGTGGTAATGGAGGCGGAGCTTTTTCCGCGGAAGATTCCACTTACAAAGCGGTCAGCTCAGAAACGTCATTAAACGCATCCAGTAGATATGTATGTAGTTAAAAGGTTCCACAAATGCGCAGTCGAGTCAAATACATGGCGCACCCCACCTTTCGCAAATGGAGCTCACTGTTTTACCCGCCAGAGAAACTCATTATTCTGTCTCAACAACAATGGTAAATCCGTAACGATAAATGATTTCCCTGCCATCTTGAAAAGCAGTTTTTCAGTAAACAAATTGTGAAGTGTTATTTCACCGTGTTCCTCCTTCAGTTCCGCTACGCTTGGAGTTACTCGAGTGAACAAATCGGCGATGGCTAACAACACTACTATTGTCCACCCACTCCTTTTTATATCAATAGCAATTTCGTTAGTGGGGTAAATTTCTTCCCCGAATTCTCGGCTATGAGATATTACGGCGCTGTCGCAAGACGAAGACATCCTGGAAGAGTGAGAATACGAGGGGCAGTAACTTAGGGGAAAATGACATTCGCTCACGCTTCGCTTGCAGTCTCTCCTTCCCCACGTAATCCTTAGTCCTACTCTTAAGAAAAGAGGACCCTTCAAATGTCTTTCAAAGACGGCCTCAAATACAATTCCTCAAAATGCCCCTATATCTTGTGATAGCGTCAATAGCTTGAAATTGGAAGCGAAAAAAAAACCGTTGTCGCAGTGTGGTCAACAAAGCTTAAAGGTCAGTGGGCGGAAGATAATTGGGTTACGCTCTCCAGAAACAAACATCACAGCTCTTTGTACGCGAATAAGTCGGACATCTAATTCCGATATAGCGAAACTACGCGGCTAATAATCGTTATTCTGGCTCATGAGCGAGTGTCGTTGAGTTGAGTGCATACTAATGAGCTGTAATGCTGTAATGTTTGTTCTGAGAAAATATTAAAGGATTATGATTTCTAATGTGACAAAAATAAGTAGTCGAAATAGTATAGAGAGCAGAAAGCTGACTTACACAGAAATTTGCGAAGCTTAGCGGAGATCGAGATAGTTCTCTTCTTCCCAGCAGGGTCAACCGTCCATTCGCACTATCCGAATAGGGTCGCGCATTTGTGATTCCGGGAAGAGGGGGGGGAGGAGGCGTCATTGGGGAGCTTTCTGAGACTAGTGGTAGTGATGGGGGTCGTATCGAGACCCCTTCTAGAGGGGGAATTCGCAAAATTCTCGGGAAAATACAAACGCTTAGATGAGCTTGTTGCCTACAAAGCATAGCTCTATGTATAGAGGTAAAGAATATGGTTCGTATGTAATCGAAGGGCGGCATTGCAGCGCAGGTTTGTGGGGGGAGGGGAGTTGCGATATAAGGGCTTACGCGAACTGCTTGAGACGGAGGTTACTGTGTGGATGGAACGCGCGGGAAGCGGTCTACTGTAAATTTGGTAACTTAAACGACGTCACATCAGAATTTCCCATCCTGAAGCGTCACTCTAGAACCCAAAGATCGTGATTGTGCTTGGTATAGCAATTGTTCTATGTGGTTGGGTCACCGAAAACGCTCTGACTACGCTGATTTTCCGCAATGGAATGGCTGCAGTCAAAACCAGGGTACCTGACAGGAGGCTCATCGCGCGACAAAGTGGCAGTTTTTTGACAGCGATCACCTTCGCTGCATTTCTCACGTCTAGCCGTCGTGAACCTTTTTTTGGAAGCAAAAGCTCCCATGGCTGGGTTTTGATGATAATCCCTCTTTAGCGATGTGTTCGAAATGGTGTGCATCGAATATGGACCCTAGCCTGCAACAGACTCGAGAGAGTACAGGGTGCACCACAATTATGCCTCAGAAAACGCAGTTTAAACATAAACACATACCAAAATCTAGACACTAACTTTCTGTGGAGTCGCGCGATGGTGAGCGGTACGTTTACCGACTTGCGAAGACCCGCTATCGCCAGACCGAGGATATAGAAAAGTTTTTCGGCATAAATGACGAGAATGGCCACCTCTTGACGGACCGCAAGAAAAGCTACCTTATGTCGTCCCTAAGTTTTGCACACAAGTGTAAATTTACTTCATGGCGACGACACATATGCACTAAAAAATTGATAGGAATTAGAGCCCAGTGAGAGTGATGTTCAACCTTTAACCTGAACAAGCGGAAGTTTTGTCGAATGAATGAATGAACTTGTTTTCTCAATACCACCCTTAATTGCTCAACTGATTGGTTTCTACGGCAGACAATCGTTTTTTATTGGAGCGAAAATTGTGACAGATACGTCTAAGAACGCTCATTGGTGTTCCGTTGTGCATAGATCATGTGTGAAGTGCGATAGATTCCCATGCGAGGTTTTACCAGAAACCTCCGCCCTCAAAAGCATTTACCTCAGAGTAAAATTTGTGGCGACGAAACGCTTGGATCGTGAAGCTGTGGAGCGAACTCTCGCTTGTAATAAGGAGGAGCCAACGAAATGCGGTCGACGAAACGACCCCCCCCGCCCCGAAACAAGGAAGTGACGGGGCTAGGACGCACGTGGGTCGACTTGCCTGCTCAACGCGCTCAACTTAAACCCGCGCTCATTGAATTACCGTTGTGCCGAATCACGAGGGGCGTTATTATGGGGTGTGCGCGACGTAACAGCGTCCTACATAGTCGCCCAATTGCTCTTGTAATGACGCTAGCCCATTGTAGCCACACTTTCGAGCCGGCGACAAGCGGCACATCGCTATCCGTAGTCTACGTACCTACCATTGAAGATAGATCCTTACGACAGAGATTTCTGCTTAGGGGTTGGCTTTAACTTGGTCCAAATTCCGTTGGAAAATGTAACAATTAAAGTTTACACCTTCGGGCTACGGCTGATATTAAATGTTACAATAGGCCGAAATATAGCAGGGGTTCACTAAATGCCTGTACACCCGCCCATGCGTGGTCCATCGGGATGCGGTGTTAGCTCACTATCGTCGTATCCCTGATCTGTATACTTTCTCGTCTCCTTTTCCCTGTCCGGCATAATGATCGCTTAGCTCGCAGCCGTCTTTTTGAACTCCCCTATACCCCTCCCTTCCCGCTGCAAAACGAGGAGGCCTCTATTTTCAGTGGTTTCAACGGTATCCTTCCCGATCATGTGAAACACGCAGACTTGAAGCTGAGCCTTAGGGCTTGAAAATAAAAGTTATCCACTGAGATCATGTCGCTTGATATACTGGGTCCAGTAAGCCGACTAATAGTAAATGCATGGCCAACAAAGTCGGAAATGTTATCAAGGAAGAGTTAATACAGATTAACAATAATCATGTGGAGGGTCTACTTCTTGTCGTGAACTCCTTCACTACGAGTGAGGCCTTCAGCTAAAGTTTAGGTCCACAGTGAGTGCAGCATACTGAAATTGAAAGTCATGAAGCTATGAAAAGTCATAGATTCAAAAATTGATAAAAAATACAAAACCAGATAAGGAAGTTCGTGAGCCAGATTTGTATGAATGCTGAAACCCACAGAATAACGACGCTCTCACGCTCAGCAGTTTCCATTAATGTTTACCATATCAATGAGAACACAATCAACACAGTAATTTTCGCTGGAACACAACAATCTACGCCCTCACGTATTTCAAATTAGCTTCACTCAGACTGTATTCGGCCATGCGAATGCGCCTCAAGAAAAGGCACGGGTATTCTTGGATATAGCCGCGTATGTTTGTTTTGAAAAGCATTAAATCGCCCATAAGACGAAGGTTGGACAATGGAGGATAAGCTACATGTTTACGGGAGATCTCTTCACTGTTTATGACGCGCAATGATGATGAGACGACAAGAAAGGGGCAAGCAGCCAGAAACCGGGCTTAGGCCGATGTCAGACTTTGCGAATCGCGCGATTCGCTAGCGTCTGCGGTCGCGTCGCGGCCAGTGAATCACTCAATTGGCTGGTACCGCAACGCGACCGCGGACGCTAGCGAATCGCGCGATTCGCAAAGTCTGACATCGGCCTTTCGCATTGTCAGGAACCCTACAAGAGTGAACCCTTTCACGACCATTTTTCAAAAATTCATATAAGAATGCCGCCATATTCTGTCAATACATGGAGAGATACCGAATAGGTGAGTGAAGATCGGTCGC